GGGGCCACGGGGCCCGCGGGGCTTGCCGCTCCTCGTGCGAGCGAGGGAGGCGAAGCCGGACGAGGGCGAGCGCGCGGGCGAAGGGGGCGACGGTACTTCCGTAGCTGGGGGCGAGGCGTCGGCACGCGAAAGCGCCTGTGCGAGCTGGATGCTCTCCGCTTCGGCTGCGGCCACGGCCTGGGCCTCGGCGACGGCGCGCGCTTGCGCCTCGGGGGTCAGGCTGTCCTCTGCCAGTCCCGCGGCACGGGCTAGGGCCGCGAGGGAGGGTTCCTCGTCTGAGAGGCTGAGGCGGTTTCGTGGCGGGAGGGGGGGAGGGGCGCGGCGCGGTTGCGGCGGAGGTGGGGCTGGACGCCGGGGAGGCGTCTGCGCAGGTGACTCTGCGTCCGATACGGAGGCGGCGGAGAGCTGTGACAGCCGCTTCGCGTCGAGCGACTTGCGCTTGGGCGGGATTGGAGGAGGGATGCGCGAGCGGGGCCCGTCGGCCTCCTTTGTCTCCGGCTTGGGCGCGGGAGCCCTCGGCCTGAGGGGCACGAAACCCGACCTGACCTCGGGGCCAGGCTGAGCCTCAGCCCCCGACGCGAAGATGGACCGGTCGGCAGGCGTCTCGGGCTTCCCCTTGGGAGTGATGTTGTCGCTGAACGGGCGGTCAGTGGGGCGGAAGTGTCCGGCAGAGGGAGTTTCGGAACTGAACGGGCGATGCTCGGGGCGACGCTCCGGTGGAGCAGAGCCGGTGAAGCCAGGCGCAAACGGAGCGGAAGCAACGAGGCCAGGTCCAGACGCAGCAGAGCCCGCAGGCCCAGGCCTGGAAACAGCAGGACCCGAAGGCGGCGACGGGAACGGGGTCAGATCGATGCCATCAATGGGCGTGTTGGGCGTGCGGCGGTCCTCGGGCCGGAGGCTGGAGCGCGATCCGGCAGACTCGACGGGGGAACGGAGCGAGGCGGCAGAGTGAGCGTCGGAGCGAGCATCGGCGCGAGTGGCATCGGTGCGCTCGTCGAGCGACGCGATCGAGCCCGTGCGCGTCTTCTCAAGCTTGCCTGACTCAGGCTGCACCTTGTTCAGCGAGCTCTTCGACTCCGAAGGACGGAGAGGGGTACTCTCGGGCGATCGGACGCGGCTCAGCGAGGCCTGGGACTCGGAGGGCCGCACTCGTTCCGGAGAGCGGATGCGGTTCAGTGACGCCTGCGATTCGGATGGCCTCAGCGGCGCCGTCTCGGGAGATCGGATGCGGTTAAGCGACGCCTGGGATTCCGATGCCCTCGGCGGAGCAGTCTCGGGCACCCTGTGAAGCGACGTCTTGGACTCTGATGGTCGGAGCGGCACTGTCTCGGGAGACCGGACGGGATTGAGCGACGCTTGCGACTCGGACGACCGCATCCCAAGACCCAAAGGCGTAGGTTCCGGCGACTTGACCTTTGGCGCCACCTCGTCAATATTCGCCCTTGCCCTATCGAGGTTGATGCGGATGCGTTCGGCCACCGGCTTTCTTCCCCATGCGTTGGTGTTGGCGTTGACATGGGTGTTGGGGTCGGGGTTGGCGTTAGCGTTGGAGGACGTGGGGGTGCGGTCGACTTGCTCGGCGCCCGTTGCACTCGCTGCGCTCGTGACGCGAGACCACGCCGGACGGCTGGGCAGAGCCTGCGGCGTGATCGGCGGCGTGAGCTGGATCAGGTCGCTGCCTGCTGTCCCCTTCCTCGTGGGCTGGGGCCGCGAGCCCTGGTGTCCGTCCTTAGCGGGCACTGGCGGGGGAGTCTCGTACAGCGAACGATCGGGCAGAAGGGGTTTGCCCATGTATCCGCTGGAGGGCGGGGCGGGGTATGTCCCTACCTGCGACTTGGACGCGTCGGAGCGCGCGTTGAAGATGGATTGAGGCGGCGGCGAAGACCACTTGGTCTTCCTCGCCTCGCTCGCTCCGGACGACTTGACTGGCTCGACCGCCTCGACCGCCTCGGGCGCCCGCTTTGCGAGAGGGTTGTCGGCCTGGGAGGGCGGGAAGGCCTGCGGCCCCTCGAGGAAGTTGAGCAGGGCGCTGTTCTCCTCGAGCAGATGCCTGATTTGCGGGGACACGGGACTATCGCCCTCCTTCTCCTTACCCCTCGAGGGTACGGCGATGGGAGCCGGGATCGGCCTGTCCTTCGCTGGCGGGGTGGGTGGAGTGTCCTCGGCCGTGGCCTTCGGCTCGGGCTTGGCTTCAGGCGTAAGGCTGGGCGCAGGCTGAGGTTTGACTTCAGGCGTCGGCGTGGGCTTGGGCTCGGTGTTGGGTTGCTTAGCCTCAGACTTGATCTCAGCTTGCGGCTGGGGCTTGGACTCAGTCCGCTGGCTCTTGCACGGCTGCGTGTCCTTAGACGGCTCCTTGGACGGCTCCTTAGACGGCTCCTTGATCTCGGACACGCTCTTGGCGACAGGCGCCTCCAACGTCGCCACAGCAGCGCTGGTCTCCACAGTCTCCCCCCTCTCGCCCTGGGGCTCCCTCTCAATCGGGCCGAGACTCAACCGGCCCGGCTCCAGGAGCTCTCTCCGCTTCATCGCCGCTTCGCGATTGGGCGACATGCCCTTTCTCTTGCTATCCGCGGCGCGGCCCGCCTCCGTCTTATCCGTGAACGAGGCGCTACGCTGCCCCCCTCCGCTTACTGAGAGCGTGGGACGCATGTCCCCGCTCGAGTGGCGGTGCGCGTAGGACCGGCTCGGCATCTCGTCTGGGCGCACTGGTTCGTCTTCGACCGCCGAGTCGGCGTCGGCGTGTTTGTCGATGCCGAGGTGGATGATGTCCGGCGACCCGGGCGATTCGGCACGGGGTTGGTTTTGTGGCGATTTGGACGCCGCGCGCTGCGACGACCCCGAAACG